CATCTACATCGACCTTCTCATACATGAATTATACCTTAACTAATTTAAAAAAGCATAAAATTTCATTGTGAATCATAGAGATATGCTAATCAAGATTATTTTCCCCTTTTTTTTCGATGAGGGATTACGTTGTGTTCTCATGAAAGAGATATATGTACAGTTTTTGAAGATATTACTTCATGAAACACATAGACAGCAATACTAAAACCTGACAATCTGACGAACTTCGAAATATAGATATATCCAGAAGATAGACGAAAATGAGGTACCACTAGTGCATTGATCTAAAACTACTAGTCAATGGTTGTTTAATACACAAGAACATTCACATTAATTTAATCAAACTCATCATAGAAAAACGATAGATATTCTTTTGTAAAAGTTCCATGACACTTTTATATCGACATGATAACCAAATAAAATTCAACTGCCTTTCTCACTGTTACATAGTTCTTTTAAGCCTAAATTTGGCAATTATTAGTTACTGCAACTAAATTGACTCAACAAAAAAAAAACACTATTATTTCAAAAATAATTTAATTTATTACTAAGTAAATAAACATCTATAGAGAAAACGAAATCATGATAACCAAATTTCAATAAATTGACCATTATTGATGACCTTAATCATCTGCTCATTTATTGTATTAACGGAAAATGCTTGACAACGTTTCATAATGGGCTACATCCATTTTGCGGACATTTTTTTCCTCCAATTAAGAAAAAATGTCCGCAAAGTAGAATTGGGGGGGGGGAGACAAAAATGACCGCACCTTGGAAAATGTCCGCAAAGCGGAATCGGGGGAGAGAGACAAAAATGACCGCATTGTAGAATGAAGACAAGATTTATTTTGTGAAAAAAAGAATACAGAAAAAGTCATTGATGAAAGACGATTAAATATCTAACTTTGTGGAGGTTCATAATCAAGATCGTCCTTGTCAGTTGTATTGAATACGTTGATATATCGATAACAAAAAGATCGCAATCTCTTTTGGTAACCAGTAAGATTCAAGACACCATCCAAATATTCTTGTTTTGCTTTAATCAAAATGTTTTCATTAGCCACTGATGTGGCTCTCCTACGACGTGTAGAATGTTGTTGAGCTTGTTCTTGCTCCACCCGGACCATTGTTGATTCTTCTGACTCCTGGATATATCTTATCCAGGTCCACAAATTTGGATGAGTTTGACAATGCGAATTTAATTGACCATGATAACCTTCAATATGATTGTTAGTTTTTGGTCGAATTCCAATAAGATCAAATAAATTCCAAAATGATGGAGGAAATAAAGCATCTTCAATGTACGTATGAAGAATGTAATCTGTTAATTTGAGAAAATTTTGATGTACATTACTTATTTCTTCAATAATATCACAAAAAACTGTATTAATTTCTTGTGGTGGTAATAATGGTAACATAAGTATATTTGCTATTTGACGACGTGCTTCAGCACCCTTTGAATGAGCAACTAAACCTTTTTTCTTAATTTGTCGCCAGATATTTTGTCCAAAATGAAATTGGCATCCTTTAATTTTCGAAGTTGGAAAGTTTTTTGAAAAAGCATTGTATGCAGCCATTTCGAAATCTATTAAAATTGATTTTGGAAGAAGTGATATACCATTTTTTTGAGCATATACAATTAATTCATTCAAAAAAAAATCATATGTATTAATGTTCTTGTTAGGTAATGCAGCATAAACGACTGGCTTCATACTGTAATTATCCCATATGTGTATACTGTAGCTTTGATAGAATAGTCTAGGAGCAGTTCTAAACGTTCCGTCACTGTTCCAATGTGGATTAGCACCGAGAAGTTGAATAGCCATACGTGAAGCAAAACCAACTATTGATAAAATATTATTATTACAGAATAAAAAATTTTGACCCATTAAAGTATGAGTAAGTGGACCAGGTACATCGATCGATGCTAATGTCTTGGGAATTGTTGGTTGTTTAGACGAACGATATTCATATAAAGAAGATTTGATACGATCAAATACAGGAACTTCAGCACCAGTACCATTTTCACGTCTGAATTTTTTGACTTGTTGGTGATACAGTAAGGAAACTGGTGCTGTAGGATCTTCTTCAATACGTCGCTTGATAGATTTAACGCATTCATATACGTTTAAAGACATTTTTGGTCGATGTTCATATTCATGACTTCCATCTGATTTAATAGCAGAAGTTTTTAAAATTGAACAATCACGTGTCGTAATTGAGGCATTACACAGTTTAAGTGTACAAATCCATATTTTGGTTCCATTTTTAATTGTACGTTTTAGTCCAAAATGATAATTTTTGAACATTATTCCATTATTACCAGATTGTGTGGTAATTGTAGAAAAGCTATCATTGTTTACGATGGACATTTTTATTTACTTTATCTAACTTGATTTCAGTTACTTTAAATACTGTCGTCCATACAAACGTTGAAAAATGGCCTGGACGACACCTGACATTCAAAACTAGACTAGCTGGTAGGATGTGATATTCATTCTTAAATCAAGCTATCTACACTGATCACGCTTAATATATCTGTTTTCGCTTGTTTCCATAATGCGGACATTTTTCTCTCCTTCCCTCGATTCCGCATTGCGGACATTTTCCAATGTGCGGTTATTTTTGTTTCTCCCCCCGATTCCATTTTGCGGACATTTTTTTCCTTCAATTAAGAAAAAATGGCCGCAAAGTAGAAGACACGTTCTGTTACTGATTTGATCATTTTAATTTGTTTGAAAATTGAAATAAGAGATGAATTATCGATTAGTTTCGATAAGAGTAATAGTGGAGTACTTATTATAAGAATAATCACATTTGGACATGCTCTAAAACAATATATTAAAAATATTTTTCTTTTGTAATATAAATAAACATACTTAAAAATAAATAGAATATTTTTCCATTGATCAATACTATATGTTGATCGAAATTTTAGTTTGGTTACATTTTCTAAATTAACAAAATGTGATATATAAGTGACATATTCTTGTGCATTATTCTCTTCATCAATTGTTTGTCGAAAATTAACTAGAATAATCAAAAATCAGATTGTACCTCATCAGACATTAAGTGAATTATTCTGATAAATAAAAATTGATAGAAAAAATGTTTCTTACCAATATTATATAAATAGTTTAACCATGATGATTTAATGATTGGACCTTCTACGAGAAGATAAGTAACATTTTGAAATAAAGATGAAGACCAAGTAATATTACATTTTTCATTTTCTATATATAATTTTAGATGTTCTGTATTAGAATAAAAATAATAATGCTCATTTGTTGTATTTCTTGTTGATCGTATTTCAAATGTTCTACAAGTAATAAAAGGAATATTTATGTTTCCAGTTAGTTTGGCTTTAGTATAATTCAATGTTTGCAATATAACAATTTCATCTAAAAGAAAGAAAAAATAAATGTTCGAGTTTAATTAAAAATTGTTTTAATGAATTTTCATATTCTTATTTAATTAGTTAAATAATTTAATTTACCTCGAAGACGACGACCATATATCCATCGATCAATAATCATGTCCCAATTAGAATATTTTTGAACGAAATAATTAAATGATTTAATAACAAAATCTAAATCTAGTTTTGGTATTCTTTTCGTCACAGTCATATGAAATTCAAATTTAGATAAATATTGAAGATAAAGTTCGAACATTTGTTGCCATACATATCCATTAAGATATTCATTAGTAAATGACCAAGATGATTTTTGTACGAGAAGTTGAAAATAAAAATGTTTGAGATTAGGCATACAACGTAATATATACGATATTGACCAAATATCACATACAGAACCAATTAATAATTCGAAATATGTCAATTATGATAATATTGGTAGATCATTTTCAATCACAGATGATAGATAATTTGAAATACTGAAATAAAACAAAATTTTTATCTCTTGAATATGTTTCTTTCTATATATATTTTTTTGCATCATAGAACTTACTACTTAGTATTATCGTTTTTAAAACGTTTTTCATTATATAATACAATGCACAAATATTTTATTTGATGACAAAGACGAAAAACTCGTATAACTGAATGAACAGATACGTTTGAAGGTGATCCAGCAATCCGTATATTAAGTGATGTAAGATTTGAAGGTATACATCGATAATTTGATAGATCTAAGTAATGATAAGGATATTGAAGGTCAACTGAACGAAGAAAAGATGATTTGTGTGTTAATATTATTTGAGTCAATTCATCATTATTATTTTCATTCAAGTCCTGATGATCTGGTTGGAAAATTTCAAGTATAACAAGTCTATTAAAACTTTCTATTTGTTTAATAATATCACCAAGTTTAGTCATTGAATCAATTGATAGAAGTTTACATGATTTTAGATTAGGAAAATTATGGCGATTAAATAATAACCTAATTATATATGAATCATCACGAATAATATCCGATATATTTATTGAAATAACTTGATGTTCATGAAAAGTAAGATGAGAAGAAAGAAAATCAATATGACGACGATAATATTCATTTGTAATTACAATATGAAGTGGAATTGATTGTAAAATAGATGATATTCGTCTATTCAATAAACTAAAACCAGTAAAAATATCAAACATATGTAAATAATCAAATATTTCAAAGAATATTTCATTGGACAAATCTTCTAATTGAGTATGTATACTCATTTCTAGAATCATAATGATAATATTCACACCCTTGACTTTAGTTTAACTAATAAAAATATCGAATGAATGAACATATCGATAAGAAACTATCCTTTTATATTTCACAATCTTAATAGTCGACGAACATGACTAAAAAGATAATATGAAATATTATTTAATCATTTGTTCATTTCAAGATATATATGAAGACAAATAGATCAAGAAAAAATATATTGATGATGTTAATTCGTCTAATTGTTATATACATCTAATTTGTTCATAATTTAATATCAAACGATGGAGAACGAGAGAGAGAAAAAATAATTAATCAAAATAATATAGTACTTTTTCTAGAACAAAAAGAATATCAGTTCAAATCTATTTATATCAATTATTATTATCATACAAATGAAAAACGATTTGAAAAAGCTAATTGATTTATAGTGCTCTCTATGAAAGAGAAAAGTTTTTATTTCATAGATTGTTTTAACAATTTTGTTTCATTTTCTATTCTATAATAAGCATAAAAAAATAAGTTATATTGAAAATCAAGAAATTTTTATCTATTGATAAAGTTTTTCTCATTTTTTGAAAACTTTTTACGACTTTTGAAAATTAATACAGCATTGATTGATATTCAGATTATATTTTGCTTTAGAAAAATGTAAGCAAAATATTTCATAGATATTTTTTATAGCTAATTAAGAATTTGAAATTATTATTTTCTTATAATTTGAAGATAAAATTTCAA